GTCACTGTTGCCCGCATGAGCAGGGCCAGTACCCCACCCTCTGAGGCCCTGGTCCTGCTCGGACTTGGGGTGAGATAAGATTGGTTAAGAAAGCAGGCACATGGCGATACCTTCTTCACCCTTCCTTTTGATCCTGCCTTCCAGCCGCCCGGAGAGAGTGGCCTTCCTGGGGCCGACTGTAGGAACCACGCGTCTGTCCCTCCCCCCAGGGGACTCAGTCTGCACACCCTCCTGCCAGTGCAGAGGGGACCCCTTCCTGCAGCACCTGAGTTTCCTCAGTCCCCATCTTGCCTGCATCCCGGGTCTCTGAGAGCTGACTCCGGCTTCATCCTAGACAAGTCCTGATAGCCCACTTTACAGGATAGGACCCTGGAGCAGAGTAGCCAGGCAACTTGTCAAAGATCACACGGCTCTGAGAAATGAGATGGGAATTTAAGTCTCTGTCCATTCGGAGTCCACACTGTGATCCAATTTATTATTTTGGCTCCAGATGTGGGGCTGGGAAGAGGGCCTCCAAAGGCAGCTGACTCCTGAGAGCCCCCCTGGGAATCTGGGTCCTGTCATAATGGTCTCTAGCATCTGGGCCCTCCCGGACAGCCTCTTGTATAGTCCCTAAATGTCCCTCATTTACAGCCTCCCATCTGCGTGGCCAAGTGAGTTACAGGTCTGAGGAGCAAGGTTATCTCTGCAGCCCTGGGGTCAGAACCCTGGGCCAGAAACTGCAGGCCAAGCCCCGTCCTATCTGTCTGTCCCAGTGTGCTGAACAAATACAGAGGGAGTACGATCACAAAATACAGAGGATGTTTACACTTTAAAAATGTATCTCCCTAGGGATTTAGCTCAGTGGTTTCGACGTCTGCTGTGCAAGTGCAAGGACCCGAGTTCGACTCCCAGTACCAAAAAAAAAAAATGTATCTCCCTAAAAGACACATCGCCATGAATCCCTCTCAAAATCCCCCCTCACTCTGAACACACTGGTCCCACCGTTGTCACGTTCTGAAGCAGCTCTGGAAGTCCTCTTTCATGAGTGTCTTTAGTCGCACTGTCTTGGCTGCCTCGGTGTCCTGAGTCCATTCAAAACGTTGACCTTTCATGGTCATTTTGACTTTGGGGAAGAGCCAGAAGTCACTTGGTGCCAGATCTGGTGAAATAGGTGGGTGAGGACACACTGTGATGTTTTTATTTGACAGAAATTGCTGCAAACATTTGATGAACAAGGGATGATCACAAAATATGGATTAAATAAAAAAGTATTGCAATAAAAGACATATTGCCACTAATCCCCCTCAAAAAACTTACCCTTGCTTGGAATACACCGATCCCATCGTTCTTGGCAATGTGTCTTTCACTGTCAAAAAGTCTGTTTTGTTGAGAGAAGTTCTCACTGTGTTTTCAGGCTGGCATTAAACTCACTACATAGCCCAGGCTGGCCTTGAACTCAAGGCAATCCTCCTGCCTCAGTCTCCCAAGTGCTGGGATCACAGGTGTGTGCGTCACCACACTCAACAATAAGCTGGGTTTTTTGGGGGTGGGGATTGGTACTGGGGTACTAGGGATCGAACTCGGGACCGTGTGCTCTCGAGGCAGGCAGTGGAACCAGAGCTAAATACCTGGCCCCGTTTTTTTTTAACATTGAAACCTTCACCCTGATTTTTTCATGAGTCATGATGTGAAACAGACTGGGAAACACCAACTGCTCTAACCGATCCCTCCTGCTCCCCAAGACACAGGAACACACACTCCCCAGAAGGGCGGTAGCTCCAGGTCTGCATCTGAGCAGGACTACATCTTCGGGCCTCATAGCCACGGGGAAGAACCATCCTGGCCCGGATGGGTGGAGCCGACTTTCCTTCTGGACAGGAAGCAGAAGTCAGTCTTCCAGGAGCTGGGGCTGTCCAGTCCAGCAGCAGGCAGAGGTGTGGGAGGCAGCTGGTGATGGAGAATTGAAAGGACCTCTCAAATCCCGCGACTGGACGTGTCTCTACCGCCCTTGGTGGTGGTGGTGGAGGTGGAGGTGTGCTCTCCTCTGCCCCAAAGCCCTTCCCACACCTCATGCCCGTCCTTCATCGACCCTGTGAGCTGGGGTCCCCTGGCATCTCCGAACTCACAGCATCCGGGAGCTCAGAGAGGCTGAGAAGCTGCCTTGGGCGAGATCACCCAGGAGCTGGGATTAAACTAGGTCTTATGGGAAACCCGAGCCCCCAATCCTGCCTGGCCTGGTGGCCTCACATTTCTCCTGTGGCCCAGAGTAACACCGGTGGTTTTTATTTTCTTTTGATTTTTAACAACAACAACAGAACGTGAGACCAGAGATTGAAAAGTAAGATACCAGGAGGTCAGAAAGCTGCTCAGACTGGGCTGGGGTTTCAGGAAATACTCCACCTGTCAGATGTGAAAACAAACACGGGGCTGGCCAGCCCTTCCCACCGGGGTCAGGACAAAGTCCGGAGAGGCGGTGGTCACCATCCGCTTACAGGTGCACGGCCTGGGTGGGCCCGCTTGTCGCCTCCCACTTCCCACCCAGCCGCGGATCCATGCCAGGCGTTCCAGCCCGGCTGGCCGGTCCCTGTGGCCCGGCCCAGAGCTGGGGACAAAGGGCCTGGCCATGCAGAGGACAGAGGTTTCCTCCCTGTACCCTGTCCCAGGAGCAGCGGAGGCATCCTTGGCTCGGAGCCCTGGACCGGGAACACACCTGGGGCTGCAGGAAGCCCGAAGACAGCTCAGGAAATCAACAGCTTCCGGGTCATCACCCCAACACTTTTTTTTTTTCGGTACCAGGGATTGAACTCAGGAACTTGAGCTTGCGAGGCAGGCACCGGAACCACTGAGCTAAAACCCCGGCCCCCCAGCCCTCTTTCCTCTCATTTATAAATGCTTACTGAGTGCAGGACGCTTAACATGCACTAACTCCTTTGGGCCCCAGGTAACCCATGGTCAAGCTCATTTCACAGCTGAGTTTTTTGTTTTGTTTGTTCTTGAGACAGGGTCTCACTATGTAGTTCAGGCTGGCCCTGAGCTCACTATGAAGTCATGGCAATCCTGCCTCAGCCTCCTGAGTACTGGGATTATAGGCGTGCATCACCACACCCAGCCTCACTTTACAGCTGGGAGAGCTGAAGCACGGGGACGCGGGACCACACGGGAGGACAGGGCCAGGGCACAGCGGACTGAGCCCACTGTGCGCCGGCCTAGTGGCCAGTGACCGTCACAGGTGTGGGGCAGGGTGGGTCACTGGCCAGGAAGTCCTTTTGCAGGTTTTCCTGAGGGCCTGCAGCCAGCACCAGGGAGGACGGGGGAGTGGGTGGGGGTACAGAGCTGTGCACCCCAATTTTCCAGCGCTCCATGGGGTGCTTGGCCCAGCTTGCTGTGTGACCTTTGGTCTCCCGCTGTCTCTGGGCCCCTTAGAAAGTGCAGTGATCTCACAGGTCTCAGGCACAGCGACACCGCATTGGTAAACGACCCGAGCCTGAGCCCTCGGGGAGTCAAGGGTGGGTCAGAGGCTCGGAGCTTCAGGTGACACTATTTTCCAGCCGACCGATCCCCTGCCAGGTGCTGCACACCAGGAAACCAGGTCTACCCGTACCCCACGCGGGGACTGAGGGCCAGCCAGGCTCCTTGAGGGCATCGGGGCTCAGGCACCTCTGGGATCCCCCAGCAAATCCAGAATAGGGGCCCTGCCTGAGGGGCTTTGCCAGCTGCGACCCTGGGACAGGACTGAACACAACGGCCACAGGTGCATTTTTTAGGAAAAGCTCCCACCAGCTTTTGTGAGCAACAGGAAATTTAGATCTAGTCTGGAGGAAGCCACCCGCCCCACCCCCAGCCAGCCAGCACTGGCTTCCTGAGGTCCGGAGCCTTCCTGAGCGGATCGGAGCTGATTCTGCTCCTCCCAGCAGCCTCCACCTCTCCAGTACCCCTCTCCTCGTTCGACCCTGCACACCAAGTACTTACTATAGGCAAAGCGTGTTCAGGGCTCTGGGGCGCAGGGTGGCAGAGACAGGTGTGTCCCCTACTCTCAGGGAGCCTGCTCCCTAGCAGGGCATGTGGATACCCATGAACAAAACACAGGCCAGGTGACCTCTGCTGGTGACTGGGCCAGGTGCTGGGCAGGGGCTGGTTCCTCTGAGCAGCTGGCAGTGAGGCCTGAGTGTAATCAGGAGACAGGAGGGCCCAGGCCAACAGGGGAAGCCCTAGGAGGACTGATTCTGGCAGAGAAGTGGCAAGTGCAAAGGCCCTGAGGTGGGCAGAAGCCAAGGGTTCTGGGACAATAGAGAAGAGACTAAGTGATCATGTATAAGGGGCAGGAGTGACAAGAGGGAGGAGGGACAGAGCAAACCACAAACAGCCCATCAGCTACATAAGGAATCTGGATTTTTTTTTTCAGACTGGATCTTGCTCTGTAGCTCAGGCTGGCCTCAAACTCACAGTGATCCTCCTGCCTCACCTCCAGAATGCTGGGATTACAGGCTTGCATTGTTGTACCCAACTTTTGAGGCTGGATTTTGTAGCTAATAAGTTGTTGACTGCATCACCTGTAGAGAAGCAGTCCGGAGAGCAACAAGATGCCGTGTTTCTGGTGTCCTCCCTGCCACCAGGATAGGAGCCTGGGAGGGTAGGGCTGGAACCTGTGACTCGAGGGTGTGGCTCTGGTCCAGGCTGCCGCAGATGTGGGGCGCCTGGGTTCCTCCAGGCTGTGGGGCTGGAAGGAGGGGACCCAGGCTCTGAGGTGTTGGGCTGAGCACTCTGGGGATGGAGCAGCCCTTCAGTGCCCTTCCCTGGACCCACCCTCCTGCACTTGGAGCCCCCCAGGGACCTGCCAAAGCCCGACATCTAAAGTGTGGGCCCCCAAGTGTTGGGAGCTATTAAGTGCAGAAGTGAGATGCACTGTCTGTGTGTTTGGTGCTGAGCATCTCATGAACCGGAAGTCTAATGCAGGGTGACTCAGGGAGGAGACCAGCTGCTCCCACCCCTGTGACAGCCCAGCCTTCTGTCCCCAACAGTGCCTCTCTCCTGGACTTGCCTTCTGAGGAGCCACTCTGGAAAACACTGCACTGCCCATCACGGGACAGGTGAGGAGGCAGGGACAGAGGGGGGCTGTCACCGGGAGAGGCCACATAGGCTGTCCCTCAGGGTGGAGGTCTGGCCCGGCCCGTGCCTCCTGACTCTCAGCCTAGAAGCACCGCGGTCCCCACACCCCTTGGTCTGCCCAAGGCTTTTCAGGAACCTCTGGGTCTTGGCCAGGCTGGAGAGCTCCTCCTCCACGCCCAGGTGAGGGACAAAGCAAGCCTTGTCCAGGGTGCGAACTCATGGGGAGGGGCAGAAGAGAAGCAGCTTCAGGAGTCGCCAGCCTTTCTCAACCCTACCTCCTGCACCCGAGGGCCTCAGGGAGGTGGGAAGGCCAGGCAGCAGCTCCTGCATGCAGAGCACCCTTGGGTGAGGACAGAAGAGGCCTGAGCATAGTCTCAGCTGACTCAGGGACAGTGGGTATCGACTCCCTTCAGGTGGCTGAGCACCTAGAGTCCTGTTGTCCTTGTGGCAGTCCCTCCTGTCCTCGCCATGCCATCCATCCATCCATCCAACCATCCACCTACCCCCACCTACCCATTTACCTACCTATCCACCAGTCTGTCAATCCACCCATCCACCCGCCCACCTATCCATCTACCCATCCATCTTTCCATCCATCCATCCATCCAACCATCCACCTACCCCCACCTACCCATTTACCTACCTATCCACCAGTCTGTCAATCCACCCATCCACCCGCCCACCTATCCATCTACCCATCCATCTTTCCATCCATCCATCCATCCACCAATCCATCCATCCACCCAGCTATCCATCTACCTATCTACCCATCCATCCTTCCATCCAACATCCTGCCATTGACCCATCCATCTATCTCCCCATATATCTATCCATCCTGTCACACCTCACCATCTATTCATCCATTCCACCATTTATCTACCCAGTTCTTTGTGTGTGTGTGTGGTGTGTGTGTGGCACCGGGGACTGAACTCAGGACCTTGCGCTTCAAGGCAGGCCCATAGCCACTGAGCTAAATCCCCGGCCCCTACCTGTTCATTTTTCATTCAGCAGCATTTTTCGAGCACCTACTTTGTCCTCATGAGGAACATGTCGCCTTCCCTCTCCAGACATCACAGTGCAGTGGGCAATGAACAAGTAGAAATTACTTTAGAGCAGGATGAGTTACAGTAACTGCCGTTTGCTGACAGCTGATCATACGCCAGGCGTTTTACCCACGTTTTGTAATTTAGTGTCTGGAAACATCTGAATAATAGGTTCTATCTTCCTCATTTCACAGAGGGGTAGAGTGGGGTTCAGAGGGGTTCAGTCATGCGCCCAAGATCACGCAGCTTGGAGGTGACAGACCTGCATTCGAACCCGGGCAGTCAGTCTCTCGCTGGAGCCTGCTGTGGGGGCTGCTCCCAGAGCCAGTGCTACCAGAAGGAAGCCCCTCACCAACGTGTGTCCTGGGGTCCAGGATGAGGGTGACTGGCTGGAGGAGGGGTCTCCTGGAGGAGGTAATGTCTGGGGCAAGGAATCAGAAAAGAGCAGGAGTTGGTAAAATATTAGCAAAATAGTTGTGCTGTACGAGCAGACTGTACAAGCATCAAGTGATACATTCGGGCAATTTCAGTTCTTGCTGCCTAGAGATGGTGACCATGCGTGCCGCCCCAAGAGATGCCCTCACGCTTCCCTGGTGTAATCAGAGTCCACACAGCCCCAGCAGGAAAGCCCTGCCCCGCCCCGCTGTATACAGCAGGCGCACACTAGAGAGGGCACCGAGGGACATTCTGTAGGCGAGACACTCGTCCCTCACTTCTGCAGGGACCGAGCCAGCTGGCGCTGACGACAGACACCGACCAGGCAGGCGCACGGAGCCCGCGGGGTGCCAGGCGCTGCCCTCGCTGTCTCCATGGCAGCAGGTGCCAGGAGGACCCGCCCCACAGGGAGGCGACAGCCAAGCAGCCCCTTCCCTAGGGCCACCCGCTGGCACAGCTGGATCTGAGCCCTGTCTCGGACTCTCAGCTTCTCTCTACTGCTGTCCCTCTGTCCCCACAGGCCCCTCGCCCAGGGCACCCTGCCCCTCGCTGCCCCCTGCAGACTGTCTCGGACCCCCTTCCTCCCCCAACACCAGGGCCCCAGAGAAATGTCGTAGGCCGGGGGTGTGGCCATGGACACAGAAATTTCAATTTCACAGTATTTCCCTGTGTTACAAAATCTCTCTCTCTTTTTTTTTTTTTTTTGGTACTGGGGATCAAACTCGGAACCTTGCGTTTGCAAGGCAGGTGGCGGAACCACTGAGCTAAATCCCCAGCCCTTTCCCTCTTTTTTTAATATTCAGAAGTGTAAAATCTGATCTTAGCTCACGATGGGCGGGAGACACAGGCAAGGGTGGGTTTGGCCTGCAGGCTGCACTTTGCTGAGTCCTTACTTCTCCCAGTGAGGACAGGCTGAGGCGCGTCCCCCGGGCCAGGGAAGGCAGGGCTGGGACACAGCCCAGGCCCCAGAAAGCCAGCGTCAGGGTCTCCTCGGCCCGGCGCGTCCACACCTGCAGGGGAGAGACTTAGTCCCGGACCCCAGCCAGCTGCCAGCTGCCGCTGCTGCCCAACCGCCCCCCTGAAGGCCTGTCCTGATTGGCCGAGCCGCCTGCCACTCAAGGGCCGTCTTGCTCTTCCAGTTTCAGCGTGAGAACCACTGCATCTTGCGTGGTGCCAGGAGACCTGGCTTGGTCCTCGCTGCTCCACCTCCTGGTGACCTGGGGCAAGTCGTTCACCTTCAGTGCCTCAGTTTACCCACAGGGTACTGAGGGCTTAGTGAGAGTGGGTAAGAGAACAGCCGCAGTTGCCCCTGGGTCGGGACTATTAGGGGAATGCCAGCCCCCTGCCTGGCCTAGACTTGGGCCAGCGCTGCCCAGGCTGGGACCGGGGCCACCGGGTTCCCAGCTGCCGCCCTGTCCCCAAACAAGGGTCCCTCTGAGCACCTCTGGATGAAGGAGCCTGGCCATCCCACCAGTGCCTTTCTGAGATCCTGGTTAGCAAGGAAGGAGCAAGATCTCGCGCTGGCACCGCCGGAAGGGGCGGGGTCCTCAGTAGACGGCGGCGTGAACGCCGGAAGGGAGGCAGCTGCCCTGCTCCCTGACCCCCTGCCTGTGGCTGCGCCTCCCCTACCCCGGCCACCGCTGTCCCGACAGCTGTCCCTGCCCAGCTGTCCTGCCAGCTGCTCCCTTCACTCCCTTCACGGCTGTCTAGTCTCGGGGAGGAGCAGAGGCAGCTTGCTTCTCTTGTCCCCTCTCCTGGGACCTTCTCCAGGCTGTGTGTCATCTCAGCGCAGCTGGTGTCACCCTGTGTGACTGTGAAAACTCAGAAACCACCAGGTGTCCCATCTTAGAGCACTGTACACACTTTGCGACTGCCTGTGTCTGGGAGTTTTCATTTTTGCTTTTTTTTTTTTGTACCAGCGATGAACTCCGGACCTTGTGCTTATGAGGCAGGTGCCAGAACCACTGAGCTAAATCCCCAAATCCCCGGCCCTGTTTTTGCATTTTTGAGACAGGGTCTTGCAGTGTGGTCCAGGCTGGTCTTGCACTCACTACATAGCCCAGGCTGGCCTAGAATTTGAACCAACCCTCCTGCCTCAGCCTCCCAAATGCTAGGATTACAGGCGTGTGCCATCATGCCCAACTCTATCTGGGGTTTTAACTTGAGATCACTGGGCTTCCAGAAATTGTCTGCATAATGCTACCTACACGTGAGTTTTCTAGGGGAGTCTATGACCCTCAAAATGTTAAAAAGGGGCCGGGGATTTAGCTCAGTGGTTCTGCCGCCTGCCTCGCAACCGCAAGGACCCGAGTTCGATCTCCGGTACCAAAAAAACCCCATAATGTTAATAAGTACCAATTAGCAGGAGCATGTAGATTTATGTAGTAAGACAGTTTGTCAGCAGACAGAGATTGTGTTGTAGAAGGAAAACAGCAGGCTGTGCAGGATAAGCCCAGTGTGGTTTAAAACCATTGGCTACACACACACACACACACACACACACACACACACGCACACAGGAAGTGTAGCTACTTAAAATGAGGAAAGGTTTTATCTCTGGGTGCGATAACAATTTTTGTTTGATTTGTGGTTTTCTGTGTTTATTAAATGCATACTTATTTCCTTCATTCTGAGAAGCCAGGGCGAAAAACAAGATGCGGGCCTCATGTCAGGGTCTCCCTCAGGCCGTCACTAACTTCCTGGCCTTGTGATGTGGACGATGTTCCAAAGCCGGAGTGCAGGGATGAGGCCTCCCCCAGAGTCCCGTTCCCTGAGTGGCTGACTCTGACCCTGGCTGCCTAGAGCGGGGGCCAAGGCTTTGCGGAGCCCACGCTTCCTGGCTGTGGCTTTGCACCAGTCACCTGGCCTCTGAGCCTCTGTGGTCCAGGCACAGGGTGACTCACTTCCTGAGGGCAAACTGAGATGATCTGGGGCTTGGGCTCCCAGTGTGGGCTCCCCTGGCCCCATGCCTTGACCCCCCCATCTTCTCTCCTCTCCCCAGGGAGCTCCAGGCCCAGCAGCATGGGGGAGGCCTGCATCAAAGTCACCAAGTATTTCCTCTTCCTCTTCAACCTGCTCTTCTTCGTAAGTACAGTCTGGAGCTGACAGCCCCAAGCCCCAGGGCCCTTCTGCGATGCTGGTGGTGGATGTCCTCTTGGGGGCCAAGGTTGGGCAGCGCAGGATTCCCACACAGCATCCCAGTTGGGGAGCTCCCCCTTCAGACATTGCAGTCTTTCCCAGACCCTCCCATCACCCAGTGGCTGAGCCTGGGGTGGGGCACAGCGAGCACATAGCCCGACTTTCCCAAACACCCCTCACGGCCTACGAGGGCCGGGCCTGGAGCTGGCTTTCCTGGGGCCTCAGTTTTCCCCTCTGGCCTGGCACTGCCTGGCTCTGCCTGGGGCTGCCAAGCTGCTGCTGGTGTGCATTCGTGTGTGTGTGTGTGTGTGTGTGTGTGTATGTACAAAATGGGGGTGCGTCAGCCTGCAGGGCCCTCATGGCCCTGAGCATGTTGGGGCTGGGGCTTCTCCATCTCATCGGTTCACCCTACACTGTTCAAAATCAGGTCATACAACGCCATGTTTATTATGATCCAATTCTATTTTTTAAATGCATAGAATCATAAAAACATGAATATTTTTGAGAGGAGAAGAAAATATTTCAGTGTTCATTCAGGAGTCCCTGGGAATTGAGATTTTATTTCTGTTTGTGTGTTTGTTTTGAGACAGGAGCTCGCTATGTAACCCAGGCTGGCCTCAAACTAATGTTGAACCTCCTGTCTTAGGCTCCCGAGTGCTGGGATTGCTGGCATTCGACACCACGCCCGGGTTGAGATTTTATTTTTTATCCTTCTCTGGAGTAGAAATTTTCTGTAGCAGATAAGAATTACATGGGAGGTGCATTACAAGTTAGGAAGGATTATAGGAAATTTAGAAAATAAAGATAAGAATCACTCTAAATCCCCCATCATGTTTTAAAAGTGTTGCTCAGCTAGGTGTGGTGGCACATGCTTGTAATCCCAGTGCTTGGGAGCCTGAGGCAGGAGGCTCGGCCTGAGTTTGAGGCCAGCTAGGGCTACATAATGAGTTTGAGGCCAGCCTGAACTGGATAGTGAAACCCTGTCTCAAAAAAAAAGAAGCTGAGAAAGTATTGCTGGCACACTCGCGCACACACACACCCGTGGGGTCAGGCCTTGGGCAGTGTTCTCTGCTATCTGTTGACCCAGGCTCCCTCCTGGCTACCATGCCTGGGTCCGCCCTGGGCTCCCCCTGCTTGGTGGTCAGGCTCTGGCCGGGCCTCTGGGGAGCAGCTGTCCAGCATAGAAGCCAAGCTGGCCCTGGTGGACCCTTGGTCCCTGGCCAGGGTGGGGGTGCAGCCACATGGAATAGCCCCGGGGCCTTGGGACGGAGAGAGGGGTCAGACTCTGCCTGGGAGACCCAGAGCTTGGGGTTCAGAGCACAGATGCTGGACCCCAAGTTAGGGTCAGGGTCAGGGTTAGGGTCAGCAAGCCGGGTGTGGTCTGGTTGGGGTACCTTCCTGTCCCTGCTCCCTACAGAGCAGGCCTCCTCCCAGCTCCTTTCTGGGCCCCCTGTGCTGGGTTCAGAGGGACCCTCAGGGTGGGGCACACAGAATGCTGGAGACAATGCACTCACTCGCCTCTCCTTCAACAAATGCATTCAGGGAGCCCCTTCTGTCCGTAGTTTCCATATCTGCTGACCCAACTAAGTGCAGATTGCAGGGTTTTTTATTGTTTTGTTTTGGAGACAAGATCTCACTATGTATTCCAGGCTGGCCTTGAATTCCAGGCAGCCCTCCTGCCTCAGCCTCCTGCGTCAGCACACATCACAGGTGTGCGCCACCATGCCCAGCTCAAAGATACTGAAGAAATTATGTCTGCACTGAGTATGGACAGACATTTTTCATACCATTACTTCCCGAGCAATGCAGCGAGGCCCTTGTTTACGTAACATGCCATGCCAGATACAAACAACCTACAGATGGTGAAAAGTGTAGGGAAGACATGGAGGTCATCAGCAGATTTATGCCATATTATATTAGGGGCTGGGGGTCCCTGAACCTGCCCCAGGGACCCCGAGAGGTGCCTGTGCATCCCCATGCTCACAGGCAGTGGCGCCCAAGCTTCCTGTGGTGACAGGCGTGGCTGCCTGGGGCGAGGCCTGCCTGGAACTTTGCAGGGTAACCGGATGGGATTTGTGGCTTCCACACAGCTCCTGACCCCAATCACCATGGCTGCTTGGCCACTTTTCCCAGGACCAAGGACTCCAGAGGCAGCCAGTGCCCCGTCAGTGCCAGGGGTCAGCGGAGGTGGGGAGGCCCAGCCCAGTCCTGGGTCACAGGGAAGGGGTCCCAGGTGCTGCCTGTTCCTGTAGGGCCACTGTCGGGGCCTCCTCCCTGGCTGCCCCGGGGCCTGGTGGCTGGGCCAGTCGCACCTGACGGCCACACTTGGGTCATCAGCCTCAGGGGGCGGTGGGGAGGCCCTCTCGGGGATCTAAGGATTTGGGGTCATGTTTGCCCAGAGGGGATTTCTGCTTTGTCCCCCACCCCTTTGGAGGAGCTGTCCCCTGCCCTCGCAGATGGGTGTAGCCAGTGCTGGGCGGGGACTCTGCCCACGGTGGGGGTGACATTCCCAGGCCACAGAGAGCCCCTCGGACCCCTCAAACTGACCCACCCTTGGGAGGGTCCTGCCTCTGTCCCATGAATCATTTGCCTTCCTGTCCCAGACCCTGGCTTTCTGTATAAGACCCAGGACACATGCCACGCACCCCTACAGCTCACCTGCCAGGCCCTGATGGAGGAGGTCAGGGCCTCAGTTTCCCTGTGTGCAAAGTGACAGCACAGGGCCATGTGACCAGAAGGGACCAGAGGGTCCAGGAGTCCTGGGTGATGGGTCCAGGGGAGGACAGTGGGGGAGAGGTTGGGGGGCCTCGGCTTCGGCCCTCCTTGAGGGACGAGGCCAGTGAGGTGACCCTGTACCACCCATCTGGTGGCCCAAGGCAAAAGGAAAGTCCCAGACCAGCATGGTAGCACACACCTGCAACCCCAGCACTTTGGGAGGCTGAGGCAGGAGGATCGAAAGTTCTAGCTCAGCCTAGGCAATTTGGAGACTTGGCAAAACCCTGTCACAAAATAAAAACTAAAAAGTACTGGGGCTGTAGCTCAGTGTAAAGGCCCTGGGTTCAATCCCCAGTGCTACCAAAAAAAAAAGTCCATGATATCAATTGTGTGGAAATTTTATTCATGTCTGATCATTCATCATAGATTTTTTGCATTAATTTTATTTATTTAGTTAGTTAGTTGGTCTTTTTGCGACAGGGTCTCACTCTATCGTTCAGCCTGGTCTTGAACTCACTAGGCGGCCCAGACCGGCCTCAGACTTGTGGTGATCCTCCTCAGCCTCCTGAGGTTTGGGACCACAGGCATCTGCCACCAGGCCCAATGATTGATTTTATTTTTAAAGTATTGCTGCTAAGTATGGCTCATCTTGATTACTGAGTTTGCACTTTGTCCAAGAGAGGCCCTGGCCCAGGTCTTTACTGGTAATAGAAAAAGGCAGGGGAAGTTGTGGGCCTTGGACTGGACCTGAGGTTAGGGATTCAAAGCGGAGGTGGAGCCCAGGGCTGGTGACAGAGGTGGGGCCCAGCAGGGATCACAGCCAGCCCTGTGGGCCAACCTTCCCTGGGCTTGGGGAACAGAACGGAAATCCCTGCCTGCCCCTTCAGCTGCACGCATCCGCCCCCCCCTTTCGGAGCTTTGAGTTCAAGGCCAGCCTGAACTCCATAGCAGGACCCTGTCTCAAAAGAAAGAAAGAAGGAGGCAGAGGGGTCCCCCCGGGGGTCGCAGATCGCAGGTCGCAGCCCACCGACTGACCCTTCTCCCGCAGATCCTGGGCGCCGTGATCCTGGGCTTCGGGGTGTGGATCCTGGCCGACCGCTCCAGCTTCATCAACGTGCTGCGTAAGTGCCCTGGAGCCCGCGCGGGTGGGCGGGAGAGCTGGGCCCGGCGCCCTCCGCTCCGGCAGGGACTTCCGCGGGTATTTTCTCTCCCCCGCCCAGACAATGCACCCTTGTCCTGAGAGCCTTTCCCGCGCCCTGCCTCAGAAAAGCCTCTTACTGGCCATGCCCTGGGCGGCCGATCACCACGGCGTCCCCGTCCCAGCGTAAGAAAGGCAAGAGCCCCGAGGGAGCTCGACCTGGGCCAGGCGTGCTGGGCGTGCGTCTCGGGTCCGGCTGTCTTCCTCCCCCACAGCCCTGCCCGGGGGCGGGACAGTGTTCTGTCCCCTGTACAAATGAAGAAACAGTCACGGGTGGTGGTGCATCCCCGGAATCCCAGCACTCAGGAGGCTGAGGCAGGAGGATCGCAGTGAGTGCGAGGCCAGCCTGGGCGCCATAGTGAGACCTTGTCCCAAACAAACGGAGGCCCAGAGAGGTTAAGTCACTGTGACTGCCCTTGGTCCTCAGCACGCGCTCGTCAGTGTGAGCCACAGCCTGGGAGCCCTGACCGAAAAGGAGCCCAAGGGAGGATGGGGACCCTTCCAGTCTCTGGGGTCTCCTCCAGGAAGCCTTCCGGGATTGCTGCTCGGCTCCCCCGGGGGTACACAGATGCCCCACCCTGCCGGAGGACGGCCTTGGCTCCCTGGCCCCCCCAGCAGCTGCAGGAGGCACCGGGTTTGAGCTCCTGCCCAAAACAGCAGCTTGGTTTAAATAAACTGGGGCCTGGCTGGGATGCCGGATGGGCTGCCGCACCTGTCACCCCAACCTGGAGGAGGTGAGCCCAGGGTGGCTGCCCTTGGCCAGGCTGTTGCTCCTTTCCCCCGGGTCCATTCCCTCCCTCAGCCTCCACACTCTCCAGGTAGGCGAGAGGCGCCCTCTTCTGCCCAGCCAGGCCCTGCCCACACCCATCTAGCACTGTACCATGGGCCAAGTCTGAGGGCGTGGAGCTGGCACTATGAGTGTGTAACCCCAGGGCCTTCGCAGGGAGCGTCGTCCCAGCCCTTTTTAGTTTTTATTCTGAGACAAGGTCTCCTAAGTCACTACTAAAATGCCCAGCCTGGGACTGCTATTGAGACCCTCCTCCTGCCTCAGCCTCCCAGAGAGCTAGGGTTACAGGCGTCCCCACCACACCCGGCTCAGGTTGGGTAGGGCCTGAGTCCTGGGGTCACAACACCCTGGGAGCAGTCCTCAGCCAGCCAGGGCTCAGAGACTGACCCACTGGCCAGCACTGTCCATCGGGGTAAACTGAGGCCGGGAGCAGTGCAACCAGCTAAGAGTGGCACAGCAGGTGGGCTCAGCACTGGCAGCCAGGGCACACTTGGCCTCAGTTTCCTCATCTGGGCCATCAGCCCGCAGCTCCTTAGTTGAGGAGACACTTTTGCTGCCCCTACAATGCTGGGCAGGCAGGAGGGAAAATCCTCACCTCCTTGCAGCTGCATCCTTGGGGTGGAAGGTGCAGAGGAGGGAACTAAACAGGCAGCAGGCCAGGCTGCATCAGGGTTCGGTGCCGCTCTCATGAGGACAGACAGAGGGCAGCCCCCAAGGGCCGCAGGAGGCTGCTCCCTGATGGCCACCCCAGTTCAGACAGGGTCTCGCTGTGTAGCCCAGGCTGGCCTCGAACTCGGGGGGATCCTCCTGCCTCAGCCTCTGGAGGGCTGGGATCACAGGCGTGCACCCTGGTGCCCAGCCATGCCTGCTGGCTTTGCCCCTGGTGACCCTGCCCTCAGCAAGCCATGTGCCCTCCTTCCTTCCAGAAACCTCCTACAGCTCCCTGCAGGTGGGCGCCTACGTCTTCATCGCTGTGGGTGCGGTCACCATGGTTATGGGCTTCCTGGGCTGCATCGGAGCCATCAAGGAGGTCCGCTGCCTGCTGGGGCTGGTGAGTGGGCCCTCTGGGCAGGGCAGGGGCCGGGCAGGGAGGAGGCGGGGCGCGGGGCAAGGCGGGTGCCCACCACTCACCTCTACCCTCTCTGCCTAGTACTTCGCCTTCCTCCTGCTCATCCTCATCGCCCAGGTGGTGGCCGGGACCCTCTTCTATTTCAATGTAGGCAAGGTGAGTTCCCCGCACTGGGCTGGGCACCTCAGGGGCAGGAAGCCACTCTGCCATCACAGACACTTCTCGTTCTGTGGAGAATACAGCGGGCAGCAGCCTGGTTTGGAAGTTTGGAAACCCTGGCTTTGAGTCCACTCACCCCCATAATGGCTTGTAAGCAGTATGCCACTCGCCTCATGGTTACAAGGTGGCTGCCACAGCACCAGCCTGGGAAGTGAGTGTTTAGCTTTTAAACTCAAGACAGAAGCACAGGAGAGAAAGGAGCAGGAAGGGCTGTTGGGACTTGTGACTGACCCAGAGATCATTTATGGGACCTGCTCTGTGCACGTGGCATCTTCTGAAGCCTTAGGGATATGGTGAGAGCTGCAGCAGGGAGAGGTTAAGCAACTTGCCCGGGGTCACACAGCTAGGAAGTAGCAGAGCTGGGATTGAAACCCAGGCATCCTGGCTTCTGATAAGTTTTTTCTGATACCAGGGATCAAACTTAGGACCTTTCGCTTGTGAAGCAGGCAGCAGAGCCACTGAGCTAAATCCCCGGCCCTTATGCTGATAATTTTTACATGGCGGTTGGTCATTCTTACCTAAATCCAATATCCTTGTTTATAATCCATACCCAGCCTGTTTTCCGGAACTGGAGCTGGCTCCTAACAAGGCAACTAAAACCAAAATGAGAGAGGATAGAACTTATGCTGAGAGGAATACTCTTATTTCTGACTTGAGTGTTGAGCTTCCTGGCAGCCAAAGCAAAAGGGGAAACAGTAGGTTCAGTAGAGGAGAGGAAGTTCACTTGGCTGTGAGAAGACAGGAAGCCAGTGGTTAGAGGAGCCAAACTCCCCTCCCAGGAAGCCCCAAGTTTTGGTGCTTACGGGGCTCCCAGGGGATGAGGCAGCCATGGGGACGCCCTGACCCGTGCCTCGGTTTCCCCAGGAGCATCAGGGCGGGGGCTGGGAGAGGAGAGAGGGGCGGGCCCATTGTGCTGCTGAGGGCCATCACAAGGGACAGTGCGACATCTTACAGAGCAGGGAGAGCCGGTGATAGGTCCCTGAGGGGAGGGTATGGGACAAGTGTGCGTCACTGGATTGGCCTCGGGCCACTGGGTGGGGACAGGAGCTAAACCCTATGGGAAGGAGTCACGGGGCACAGCTCCAGGTGAATTCTGTGGAACCCCGGCCTGCGGTAGACAGTGCTCGAGGTACTGAGGTCCCTCTCCCCGGGAGTGTGCAAACAGAGCCCTGAGAGCATTGGAAGGGGCCTCACATTTGCATGATGCTCTGGGCTCGAGGGCCTCTGGCAGTTGCAGCTCTGTGAAGAGTTTCGCTGCAGGGTGAACTGAGAGCTCAGCCCGGAGGTAGGAGTGAGCCCCATCAGGTGGGCACGGTGGCTTGCCCGTGGCTGTCTCAGGGCCCTGAGCCACTTCCGGCTGGGTTCTGTCACGTCGCTGCTGCTGGCTAGCTGTGATCAGGGCCTTCGGACTGAGCTACATCCCCACTCCTTTTTATTTGGAGACAGGGTCTCACCGAGTCCCTCCCTAAGTTGCCCTGGCTGGGCTCCAACTTCCAAGCCTCCTGCCTCAGCCTCCCAGAGTGCTGAGATTACAGATGTGCACCACCAAGCCTGGCCCTTAATAATTTTAAAAGCAGGGCCTTTATTTCCCATTTGCCCTGGGCTGATGATGCGGCCAGCGCTGGGCCCCCGCTCCTGACCCCTCCAGGTCCCCCTGTGGCCCTGCTGTCCTGGGTTGGCCCCTTCTCTGAAGTCCTCACCCTCGGAGGACAGGGTGAGCCCCCACTATGGTCACCAGGGATGGGTGCCGCCCACCTCGTAAGACCCCACGTCACCGCCTGTGCCACACCGCAGTGGGTCACAGCAGCCCGGGACAGGAGCCTGCGGGGTGCAGGGAGCCGAGCGCTCGCTTCCCTCCCGCCCGCTCTGTCTCGCTGGCTCCCCGGTTGCCAGGGTGACCGTCCCTGGCGTCCCAACACGGGGCTCCGAGCTGAGCCAGCCCCAGCGCCTGGTCCCCGAGGCCGGCCGTGTGGGCCACGCTCCGGACCAAGGGAAGAGGCCGCGTCTCCATGGAAACCACAGCGCTGTGGAAGTCCCTCCCCCATCACCTTCTCACTTCCGGAGGCCTGGGAGGGGCGGGGAAGGGCGGCCCAGCGGCCGCCGCACCGGGCTGTGGGCTGCGGTAGCAGTAGCCTCTTTCGAGGTCGAGGGCGCAGGGGCGGGAGGGCGAGGCGAGGCGGCTCTCCCACAGAGGTGTCTGGAGGGGCGTCCTTCCCTCCCCTGGGGACTGGAGGCGGAGCCAGCACGGTGGGGGGAGAGAACAAGATCTGTGGGCCAACAGGACAGCTTCATGGAGGAAAACGTGGGTTCTGGAGTTGGACAAGCCTGGGTCCAGGCCTCTACCCCTCTACCCTGGCCTGCCAGCCCCAGCCTGCTGTCTCTGGGCCCCGCGTGAGGCCTTCGGGCCGCGTCCCCCTGCCCCAAGTCCCTCGCCCGCCTTGTTTGCCATGACTGAAAACTGGGCGCTTCTCACCATGGCCACCAAGAGGGAGCTCGACTCCTGCGCAGGGCGGGGACCGAGGGTCCATGCGCCAGTCCCAGGTCGTCTCCCCGGAAGCCTGGTCCCTCCTCCTGCAGGCAGCGGGCTCACAGCAGCGCCCCATGAATGTCCCCTCCCTTGGGAGAGGGCAGCCAGGTCTCCTGCACCAGATACATTGGGTGGCATCCAGCCGGGAAGGAGAGATGATAAAGCAGAAGCACACGCACACGTCTTGTCTCTGCCAGGGAGAAAACACCCATGCTTGCCCCTGAAGGATAAGGGCAACAGAAGGGCAGGCGGAGGACATAGGAGGGGCAGGTGTTTGAAGAATGGTCAAGAAAGTGGCACCTAGCAGAGCCCTGAAGGAAGGAGAGGAGTGATCCGTGTTCATATTTGCGGGCAGTGCCCTGGGCAGCGGCCACAGCAAGTGCAAAGGCCCTGGGGCAGGAGCGTGCCTGGTGCAGAGACCCCTGTGTCAAAGGGTACAGGAAGGAAGGACAGAGGGACAGAGGTCTTGGTGGCCACGTGGAGGATGTTGCCATTTTTCCTGAGAGTGATGAGGCCTCTAGCAGCGACTTGGCCAGGCCAGGAGAGGTGGGCACTGGGCAGGGGCACTGGAAGTCAGAGTGGAAGTTGACTGCAACCCCGCCCCCATCCACAGCTGAAGGAGGAGATGGGCACCGTGGTGTCGGATGTCATCCGGAACTACAACGCCAGCAGCAGGGACAGCCTGCAGGAGGCCTGGGACTACATACAGGCGCAGGTGAGTGGGCCCCACTCCGCAGTGCCCGGCTGAGGGACCCTGGCCCTCCCTGCACCTGGCCACGGCGTGCTGCTCGCCCTGGCCCGTCTGCAGGTGTCCTCGCAGGGCCCAGGAGGGCTCTGTCTTGCTGGGGCATGCGATGGCCTGGGACCCCTTCTCTGGAGGTGCCAGCCTTTTTGTCAGAGAGGAGGCAGCCAAGCAACTGGAATGAGGAAGCGAAAATCTGATACCTGAGCCGGGCATGTGGCACACACCTATGATCCCAGCATTCGGGAGGCTGAGGCAGGAGGAACGGCTTGAGTTTAGGCCAGCCTGAGCTACACAGCCAAACCCAAGCTCCAAAAAAAAAAAATGCTGCCTGCTTCTGGGCTCTTCTGCAAGGGCGTAGCACCCCCTGCTGGGTGCTGGTCCTGAACTCAGCACCCAGGTGGCCACAAAGCCCCACCCCACTGTCCTCCTGGGAACCCTGGCAGAGTATTGTGGGTGCGCAGAGCCGGGAGAGTCCTCTTTCCCCCAGAGGAGACCAATTTCTCCTTCAGAATAGCAGAATTGACTGTTTTCACTTTGGCAACCTGGAAGCTCAGAGTAGAGTAGACCGTAAAGGAGAGCTGGCCTTGCTTAGCTATTAGGCTCGCCAGACCCGTGCCTGCCTCAGCCTGCACTTTAAGAGCCGTTGTGTCTCCTTCTCCTTTTATAGGTAAGGAAACTCTTTTTTTTTTTGGCTTTTGGGGACAAGGTCTCGCTATAGTCCAGGGTGGCCTTGAACTCACTACGTAGCCCAAGTCAGTCTTGAATTCGAAGTGATCCTCCTGCCTCTGCCTCTTGAGTGCTGGCATTACAGGTGTGCACCGCTATGCCCGCCTGAAAGCCACTTACATCCCCCTGGCTCACAGAAGCCAGAGCAGAGCCTAAACTCTAATCCGGCAGCCTGGCGGGGCCCAGGGTCCTGGAAGTGGCCCATCCCAGCCCTGGGTGGGGAGGTGGCCGTGGACGCAGCCTGTGCCCCCCCAGGTGAGGTGCTGCGGCTGGGTCAGCTTCTCCAACTGGACAGACAACGCAGCGCTCATGAATCGCAGCGAGGTCACCTACCCCTGCTCCTGTGAGGTCAAGGGCGATGGGGACACCAGCTTCTCCGAGATAACGGGCTTCTGCAGCCCCCAGAATGTCACCCAGGATGGCAACGACCCCGAGAAGTGGCCGGTGTACAAGGAGGTGAGCGCAGCCTCGTCCGCCCCCCCCGCCCCCCCCCCCCCCCCGCAACCCGGGTGCTGTGGGCGGAGACGCGTGTGCCTGACCCGGCTGTGACCCCGCAGGGCTGCAGGGAGAAGGTGCAGGCCTGGCTGCAGGAGAACCTGGGCGTCATCCTGGGCGTGTGTGTGGGCGTCGCTGCCATCGAGGTCTGTCCCCTGCCCTGTCCGCGAGGTCGGGTGGGGGCTGCACGGCCAGGGGCCCAAGTCCCGTCCGGCTGCGGCTGCGTGGCTGCAGACAAGGCGCTGCCCCTCTCTGGGCCTCTGCCGCCTGCATCCCAGGGTGGTTGCAGGCACAACAGCCTGATGGAGGCAGCGGGCGGGGACTGGGCCAGGGCAGCCCCTCCTTGACGCCCCTGTCCCCACAGCTCCTGGGCATGTTCCTGTCCCTCTGCCTGTGCTGGCACATCCGCTCTGAAGACTACAGCAAGGTCCCCAAGTACTGAGGGGCCGCCGTCCCGCCTCCCTGCCCATTTCCCACCCCCGGGGGCTCCCTGGCTCCCTCCTCCCACCCTTCCCGCAGCAGCGCTGGCCAGCCGTAAGTGGGGGCTTTCTGGTTCTGCACCCCCTCCCTGCCTTTCTGCCGCGGCCTTGAGCCCGGGGACCCCGCGGTCCCTCTGCTCACTCCCCATGGGCCGGGACTCAGCGTTGTCCCGCTCGGGCGGCTGCACCCCCTGCCCGGAGGCCAAGAGCAGTGTGCAGGGCCCAGGCCACCAAACGGGGAGGGCGCTGGGGACGGAGCCGCCAGGACGGCGTGGTCAACTTTCTTCCCTGACGGTGACGACGACGCTCAAGTCTGGTTTCTCGCACTTTCACGGGAGCTGGCGGACTCCGCCCGGCTGGGCCACACCGAGGGAGGGTAGCCCTCGGGAGCCCCACGTGGGGACAGGGTCTGCCCTGCTCCGGCGGCAAGGTCTGGCCCTACCTCCCACGGGTCCGAGGAGAAGCTGGGCCGCCCTGCTCGGTCCCCGTCCCTGGTCCTCCAGGCAGCGGGCGGTGAGGCTGTGCCTCGGGGCCGTGGGCTCCGTGGGCTCTGTTCTGTACAACAAACTGCAGGCTGCGACACTGACTATTAAAGTGGGTTTGTAACAACCTGGCCGGAAGTGCTGGGGCGGTCACTTCCGGGGTGGGGAGGACCCTCGGGTGTGACCGGAGCCTCCCTCTTCCAGCCTGGCTGCCGGCGCCGGCAGCATCCAGGTTTATGAGGATCTGTGGAAGGAAACCTCACACCAAAGGTGAGGAATGACACGGGCAGAATCCAAGGCCCCTTTACGATGGAACAAGAGGCTGTATTTGCGGGGGGACTGAGATGTGTCTCACCAGGTAGCCCGGGCTGGCCTCCTGGGGAGGGACGCCTGGCTTCTGACACACGGTGCCGCAGACAGGAGGAGTGTCAGCAGGGCCCACCAGAGGGCGCTGCCGCCTTGGTCTTGGGCCCTCGTTACTGCAGGCCCCACTCTATCCCAAACCTGTGTCTGTGGTTCCCTGGGCGCATTTGTGACTGCAGACCCCAGGGCGCCAGGACTCTGGAGCAGCAGGTCTGGGGTATGGACAAAGAATACGCATTTTTCTTTCTTTTTCTTTGGCTTTTTGAGACAGGGTCTCACTATGTAGTTCAGGCTGGCCTCAAATTCAGTGATCCTCCTGCCTCAGCCTCGCGAGTGTGGGGATCACCACATGTACCACCAGGCCCGGCTCAGGAGTCTGCATTTTTTACAGCCCTCCAAAACGATTCCCCAGTCATATCGCTGTAGATCCTCAGGCCCTGGTAGGACTTGATATGGACTGTCACCCCAAAAAGGTGGGCTGGGGCACTCAGAAAAGCCTTGTCCCACAAAGGAAGCACATATGTGAAAATATAAAACCTCATAGGAAGTATAGGCATGGGTGAAATAAAGGACGGAGTTGCCCATGGGTTTACTTAACCTGGAGATCACTCGAGCGACCTCACTAACTGCTCACAGTTCTCATTTCCTTAGCCTAGATGCATCCTGGTCAGCTGTAAGGGCTAGCGTCACTCACTGCAACTTTAGACCCCTTCTCAGCTCTGCCTAGCAATCAGTCTAGTTGGATTGCAGATTGAGTGCAGTTACCACCCTTGAGTACACACTGTTATATTAAGCCACCAGTTTGCCTCTGAGCTTCCTGGTGGCCGAAGAGAAAAGGGGAAGTTTGCCAGTTACAGAACTGTCATTTCCCAAGATGTCCTCACATGGAGCTGCTAGGAGAATTGTGCCTGGCTGGAATCTAGAATTCAGGACTGCCCCCAAACATGCAAACCTTAATAGCACTTCAAGAAGAAGCCACTGGACCAGAGCACAAATGAGCCCCCAGGGTGCCCAGTCGAATGCTGGTTGGTAGCAGTGTGGATGGAGTTAGTGTTGCTGGCTGGGGAGGAACCAGGAACCTGTAACTGCTGGGTGACCCCAAGGGCCTGCCCTGCCCTGAGGGCAGTCCGCAGGGGGACAGGGGATGTGGCCAGGACGGGGCTGGCCATGGCAGAGTCAGGAGACAGAGCTCCATCCCGGCTGCAAGCAGGACCTTCATCAGATGCAGGATCTTAGCCACTGTCCTGGTCGCTGAGACGCAGTACCGGACACCCGTAACTTAAAGGAGGAGAGGGTGATTTGGCCCACAGTTTCTGGAGGTTTCAGTCCATAGTCGGCTGGCTCCAAGGCAGGGCGGCAGGGCAGAGGGGCCTGGCGGAGGGGGCGGCTCGGGACATGGCAGACAGGAAGCAGAGAGCAGGGAGGGGCCTGGGAGGGAGATAGACCCAGCCAAGCCATGCTCCAGTGCCCGCCTCTCCCAAGCAGACCTACCTGGGTAAGCCATCTGCAGAGCCCTGTAATCCTGACACCGTACACAAGCGCCAACCCTGAGCACATGAGGCTTTGGGGAACCTCAACAGGGAGAATGGAGGACCCCCGCGGGACCCAGAGCCACGTGGGTGCAGAAGCCCCTGGCGTCCACACAGACCCCATGGTGCCCAGCCTCAGAGCGGGTCAGGCTGCCATGTGGGTGGGGTGCTTCTGCCCTCAGTGACCCTTGAGGGTGACCCTGGGACCCCCAGGAGAAGTAGGCAGGAGGAGGCTGGTATTCCAAACAGGAGTCTCCATCCTGGTATCCCTGAGGGTCCCTGCAGCTCCCTGCAGTTGAGGGCAGCACCAGGGTGGGGTCCCCTCTGCCGAGCCCCAGGCCTGCATGGTGGGAAGAAGCGCCCAGGGGTCACAAGGGTGTCCGTCGGGTCCTGCTCTGCTGGGGGGGGGGGTCTTCATAGCTTCGTCTTCAAGGAAGGGAGTGCCAGAGAGTGTCTCAGGGAGCCTCTTCGTCTCTGCTGTCCCCCGAGGAGCAGGGGCCACCTTGGGGTTTCCATCTAGCTGCACCCCGTCTTCCTGTATGACCCCAGCCAGATAGTGGGAGCTGGCTTCAAACTTGTCTGTAAAGCCTTCAGAGCCGAATGAGCCAATGCTGGAGTTATGTGGGGCGCGTTGCACCCCCAGGCTGCTTCCTCTGACTCACCCACCCGCTGGAGTCTCTTGCAGCCAGATGTCCACAGAAAAGGGATTCGAGCCCCACACTTCCAGATCCAGAGGCCACCGTCCTGGCTGCACTGTACCGTGGCTCCCAGGACAGCACCAGGCTGGAGTTGTGCTGTCATCTCCAGGAGCCTGGGAGCTGACAGCAGGGATGAGGGACCAGGGACCAGGGCTCGGGCAGGGGCAGCAGCCTTGGGGGTGAGGGGCAAGCAAGGGCCCTGAAGGATGGGCTGGGGAGGTTGAGGGCCAGGACAGAGATGGTCCAGGATTTTAAAGCTGAGCTGATGTGCTGCATGGGAGCCACACACATCTGCCAGTCGGAACCCTCAGCCCCCGCCAGCTGCCACAGGCTGCTCCACAGTGGAGAGAGACGAGGCGGGACCTCAGGCTGTACCGGGGACTTGGGCTATGAATCTCCCTCCCAGACGCGTCAGATCGCGGCAGCGCTGGGGCCGTAATGTATTCTGCACACGGGCGCTGACATCATGGGGACAGTGGCTCCTCAGCCTGCTCTCCACTGCCCCAGAGCCTCCCTCGTCTGCGAGGAAGAAAGACAAAGACTGAGGACAGGCGGCGCCTATCCCTGCGGAGCGCGTGATTTCTCTTTTCCACCCCAACCTCTGTTCAGTCAGCAGATGTCTAGCGGAGGCCTATTAGGTGCCTGTTTCCAAAATGTGCTTCCTGCCATGGTACATTTTCTGGGTCCCTACTGAGGGCCTCGCTCAGCCCTGCATTCCTTCTAGCAACACAGGGTGAGTTAGGGCCCCCCACACACATACTGGAGGAGGGGTATTGGGACAGGATCTCACTGTGTAGTTCAGGCTGGCCTCGGTCTCACTGTATAACCCCAGTTGGCCTCGAACTCACAGTGACCCTCCTGCCTCAGCCTCCTAGTAGCTGGGATGGCAGACATGCATCACTATGCCCAATGGGTCATCCCCACTTTACAGGGAGAAAAGTGGGGTTCCACAGACAGTAGCTGGTTCCAGGTTTGGCTGAATTCAGGCAGGGTCGCAAGACTCTTCCTCCATTGCCACAGTTGTGGCTTTTTAAACAGGGGATTTCAACATTTTCCCCAGGGCTCTGTGTATGGCAGGCGGAGAGGAGAAAGGGTGGCAAAGTCATTGGAAAATGTCCCCTGTCCCCAAGAGCTGGGTGGCTGCTGGTTCCACTGCTCAGGCCCCGGGGGGTGCTGTGAGCCGCAGCCAGCCAGAGGGTGGTGGCAGGGGCCACACGCTCCAGTCTGTGCCCTGTATGTCAAGCTGACAGTCACAGCCGCCTTGGTCCCCGCCCGCTGCTCTGCTTAGCTGCTGGTCCCCTGCATGTCCTGCCCCTGGGCCCTGGGCGCTGCACCCTGCCCTCCCTGGCTGAGGGCTTTAGTAATGGGGAGTTTGGGGGAATCCGGGTCGCCGTGCCCTCCCTGGGCTGGGGGCTTAGCCAAAGGCTCCAAGGGGTACAGAGCCCAGTTCCAACCTCCAGAGCCTCTTTTGGGCCAGAAGCCGCCCCAACCCAGGGTCCTGGCCACCTGCAAGGGGCCCCTCCCCCCACGTGACCTGGGAGCCCAGATGTGTGCGGGAGGAAGTAGGAAGGGTAGGAGGGGCGCTGGGGCCTGGGGGTGTTCTGAGCCATGAGGGTCCCGGACCCCACAACCACACACGGTTGCTTCCCTCTGGCACAGCTTGGGTGCCGGGTCCCCAAGGGTCGGCAACCTTAGCCAAGCCTCTGCCTTCTGGGCCTCATCTCGTTTCTGAACCGGACAGAGAATTCTCAGAGCCACCTGCAGACTCCAGTGCCGGCATCCAGGACCCCCTCAGCCCTGCAGCCCTGAGTCCACAGAAATCCCAGTGTCACCCCTGTTTCGCAGAGAGGCTGAGATGGCCAGGTGGCAAGGCGTGGCCAGGTCACACAGCTGAGACCCAGTGGCACCCAGGCCCCAGGGCAGGTTCAGCCCCGCGCTGCCTCTCTCTCAGGCAGGTAGGCGCGGCGGTAAATGTGCTGCCGCCCAGCCAGATTGCAGACGTGCGTGCGTGTCTATGTGCTCGCTGCAGGGCCCTGACAGAGGAGCTTGTGGGCCTTGGGGCCCAGGCTGTTCTGGGGACAGGACAGGCTGGCGGCAGGGGATGAAAGCCGCCCTCAGCAGGCAGGGGCTCCCCGTGCAGCCCCCAGTGGTAGCCAGAAAGAGAATGAGCCCAGGTGGGGCCGGGGGGAGGACGAAGGGCACCAGGGCCAAGGCGGGGCGGGGGGGGCATGGGGTCCAGGAGAGACAGGGTCCTGCTTGCATCTTTGAAGGCCCACTCAGGGGCTGTGTGGAGCTGGCTGGTGGGCTGGAGTCAGGCCAGACACCGGGTCCCAGAATGTCATCTAGAGGTGCATGGGTGGCCTGGGCAGTGAGGGTGGCAGCCGTCCCAATCTGCCTGGGACGAGAGATGTCACTGCTAAAGCCTGGTAGGTCCCGGACAACAGGACAAGCTGGTCACCCCCAAAGGGAGGAGTCCCCAAAGGCACTCAGGGCCCCGCTTCAGCAACCGAGTGTGTGGAGCCCCACTTGCTCACCTTGGGG